AAATTAGTTCTGAGGTACCCACACCATCGTATGTCCTTGGATCACGGTACAACACCTAGCTCTGCTGGGTGCGTGGTCTTTGTAGAATTGTATGGTCAAGTGGGTTAGAGCGTCGTGAATTTTCACTAACCATGAGGTGGGCTAAAACAACTTAGGTTCGATACCCCGGCTATTCACAGTGTTGTTATTGATTACATACCACTAGTTGGTTACAATATTATACTATTATAATATATATATATTATATATATATATATATATATATATTATAATTTATATATATATATATATATATATATATATATATATAGGGAGGTACTACCTCTAGAACTGTTATAGGGACCCTCATCCTCAGAGAAAAGAATAAACTTGCTTCAGGGAAAACTCAAGGTTCTCCCTGAAGCTGTTTGAGAATTTTCTCCTACCACCCTCTATTTTATATATATATATATATATATATATATATATATATATATATATATATATATATATATATATATATATTATATATATATATATTATTTAAAGACAAAATACATTGACAAAACATTCACAAAAATACGATAGAAAGTAAAACAACATAGGTAACTCAGAGCTACATCTCGAATACTTCGTCCAGCTCCCCGGCGGTGGGCCGCGTGCCCAGAATGCTGCAGGCATTTCCTCTCTGGATCGTAACACTGAGTCTCTGAAAGAGGAAGCTGGTCGCCCTGTGGTCCTTGGCTTCTATGATGAGCTTTTCACCCAGTTCTATTAGGAACTTGCCCCATGCTCCAAGGGTCTCCGACCCTATTGGGATGAAGTTATAGCAAGGGGGAAGGTCTTCATATTTGCGGATCTTCTGGGTCTCCCTGTGGCTGGCAGCTCCACCCCCTTCCACTACGGAGTATGTCAAGTAGGTGTCTGCCAATGTGGCGGCACATGTGTAGTCCCAGGCAATCTGCTTTCCATCCTTCCAAGGTAGCATAGTGGCTCCATCAGGACGCTTTAGAATTCCGTCAGACCTCTGCACTTGGGGTTCCCGTTGAGCTGGGCAACGGGCTGTGGCAAGGCTTCTCTTTATGATGTCATTGACCTCCTCATGCCTGGCATACTTCCCTTCTGCTGTGTGACACACGAGATCATGAAGTTCGAACTGATCAGCTGTCGCCCTGCCGCAAATACACCTATGTTCGGTGAGGATGGGGGCGGCTAGGCGAAGAGCAACACCAATCCGAATGGCCTGTGGGTCTAGTCGAGTGCCCAAGGAGGAATTGGGAACAGCTAACAGGAAATCTCCTGAGTGTGGTGCCTTCACTGCCAGGAGACGAGCTTTCTCCTTTCCTGAGGCGTTGGAGAGCATTGTGTTGGCGATTTTTTCCATGATCAGTTTGTCCCAGTGGGACTGTTTGTGTTCTTTGGGAGGAGCTGGTCTACTGGAGGAATCTGTAAGGGTGTCCCACTGAATCGCTGCTTCAGTAAACCTGGGGTCTTGAGCTCCTACCACGTCTCTCAAGCGTTCGGGAACAATCTTCTTGACTAATGCACTGGAAGCCAAACACGAAGACAGAAAAGCAGGTAAAGCAACATGCGTTGATTTGCGCACCCCTATACCTCCCAGTCGTACTGGGAGGGTTGCCTGATCCCATTGCTGATCCTCTAGTGACAGGTTCAGTGCCTTCTTGAGGGTTGACCTCAGGTGTGTGTCATATTCGTCGAGTGTTGGGTTGTCAAAAGAGGGTGCACACCTCAGGAAGTAAGTGAGTCTTGGAATAGTAAGGCACCTTGTGAGGAGATACAGAGCATCATGGGCATCAAGATTGCTTATTCTCTCCTCCATTCTCATCATGTCATTCAATTTGTCCTTGAGGACTGTGTCGATGGCCTGGTGACCCAGAGTAAAACACCAAAGCCATAGAGAAGAGGACGAAGACACAAAACAAAAATTACAATAACTACACACAGCGAGAAAGTCAGAAAATTTATATTTTCTCCACCAATCCTACCAACTTTAATCTTTTTATGGCGAACCTTTTAATTATTTTGGACACTGGCCATTGACTTTATCGGTGCGAAAGTGTCGGACAAAGGATTTATTACAGGCGTTCCTCCCTCCCTCCCTCCCTCCCTCTCCCTATCTCCCTCCCCTACCCTATCTCCGTCCCCCTGCCCCTCTCCCTCCCCTGACATTGATTGTAGGAAGTCGTACACGAGCTTGGCGAGCGTCACTCAGTGAGCCCAGTGATTAAAAGGTTCGTATTGTTGTTCTCTTATTCCACATGCCAATTTCTGTCCTTTACATTCTTACCCTTACTTGGTTTTACTACCTCGCACACGCATGTGGTTTTTTACACACACACACACACACACACACACACACACACACACACACACACACACACACACACGAGGACCAGGCAGAACTACAGAGGAATCTGGACAGACTCCAGGACTGGTCCAGCAATTGGCTCCTGGAGTTCAACTCCACAAAGTGGGGAAAGGTAAAAACCACAAACGGAGTACAGTCTACGGGGCCAGAGCTACAAACCTCACTCAAGGAAAAGGACCTTGGTGTGTGTATAACACCGGGAACATCTCCTGAGCACACATCATCCAAATAACTGCTGCAGCATATGGGCGTCTAGCAAACTTAAGAACAGCATTCCGACATCTAAATAAGGACTCATTCAGGACCCTGTACACTGTGTACGTTAGGTCCATATTGGAATATGCAGCACCAGTTTGGAACCCTCATCTAGCCAAGCATGTAAGGAAACTAGAGAAAGTGCAAAGGTTTGCAACAAGACTAGCCCCGGAGCTAAGTGGTATGTCCTACGAGGAGAAGTTATCGACCTGACGACACTGGAAGACAGAACACATAAAAAATATTGAGAGGTATAGACAAGGTAGACAAAGACAGGATGTTCCAGAGATGGGACACAGCAACAAGGGGACACAGTTGGAAGTTGAAGACTCAGATGAATCACAGGGATGTTAGGAAGTATTTCTTCAGTCACAGAGTTGTCAGGAAGTGGAATAGTTTGGGTAGTGATGTAGTGGAGGCAGGATCCATAAAGCTCACGGAGCGCGATGAGTGATCTAGTAGGGACCAGTGACAAGAGCTGTGACTCGACCCCCGCAACCACAACTTCGTGAGTACAACTAGGTGAGTACACACACATACACACACACCAGCAATAATGCGGGGCCAGGAGCTGTCAATAGCCCTTGCAACCACAAGTAGGTGAATACACGCTCATACACACACACAAAAAAAAAGAAAAGACCAAGTGTCTATCGACAGCTACCTGTGACAACCAGTAACTAACACACAGCAACACGGCTCAGCAGTCAGCACAGCGAACAATTGTGTATAAAGGTGATCCAGTCAGACTGTCGGGAGACCGTTATATATTTGTTGACAAATTTCTAACATATTTTCATGTATCGGATGGAAATACGACAAAAAGTAGCTCAAAACATATGTATAACCTCAGGTAAAACTATAAGTGAAATAATCCTATTATAATTTTCATGGGAAAACGGTAATCCAGGTGGCGTCATACAACGTCTGGGGAACGAAAGATAAACAGGTCTGATCCAAGGAAGGGAACGACAGCTCTAACTCATTAACTTCAAGGCCTATAGATACATTTTACAGCTCAAGCGATTGGTTTATTGAGGACGTATTATGCAAAATAGTTTAAAAACTAGAAAACACGTAAATAATAGTGAATTAGGGATTAAGAGATATGAAAAAAAAAAAAAGGAAAGCAGGAGCTCAGGTTGCCATGACACAAGCAAACCAGAACATGAAGTTACAGTTTCTTGTTACGAAAAAGCTAGTGCAGAAAGGACATTAATAATTTACAATTTTACGAAGTAATTGGTGGTTATTGGCATTGTTATGAAGTGTGAGGAAACGTCTACTAAAACTACTACAAAAAAAAAAAAAAAAAAAAAAAAAAAAAAAAAAAAAAAAAAAAACATTGGATACATTGATCACTGAAGAATGGACACCATTAATACGCATAAATTTCCTTAAATGCAAGAATGTAGTGAATATTTTGATGATAACAGTTTACATTAAATACATCTCATCCAACCAACAATCACTTCTTTTTTTAGATTTTTGTTGCACAACACTTTTCTGACGAGAATTGAAGAAACATTGCATAACGAGCTGTTATTGGGACAACGTTTCGCTCAAGTATTAGTGAAAAAAGACAGTTGCACAATTTATTGAAAAAACATCTCAGTAAAGTTTTCTTTCTACAGTTGTGTCTCTTTGTACGACTTTTCGGCTTTGCATCATTTGTTTCATTTCGTGAAGGCAGGTTAAAGTTTTAATTTTATAAAGTTCTACACAGAGCTAAACTTTGTCCCAACGATTGTTTGTTCCTCAACGTGTGTCTTATCTTCGCTGTTGTCAAGAATGGTACATTTGGAACCACCTGATGGGTTGTGTTGAGCAACTGACAAGAATTTCGTGAAATTATCCCTGACCATCGTATCAAACCACTCAGGACAGAGGTCTCACTCACTCTCTCTCACCTAAGATCGTGAGAATTACAGAATTAACTACATCACACAAGTAATTTTTCCTCACTTAGTAATTATCAGTTTTAAGAGTTATTTTGTAGCTTAAACCTCTCATCCAAGGACTTTATAATTTTATCTCTAAACAAAATGGTTTATTGCAATGTTCCTCATTATCTGACTCAATTTCTCGTTTCGGGCCTCTTTTATCTTCTCTCTTGAGGAATCTCTTAAGAAAGGATTCATTGAGAAATGAATGACTATCTCCTGAGAAACCCGATAAAAACGGACAGGATGAGACGTGAAAAATGACAAACCACCTTATGAAAAGCTTCAGGACGAGAGAGCTGAGAGGCAATGTCTCACCTGAGAAACATGAAGAGGTGCTGAAGTGAAAGCGAGAGCTGAGAGGCAATGTCTCACCTGAGAAACCTGATGAAGTGTTGGAGAGAAAAACTGAAAGATGAGAGGCAATGTTTCACCTGAAAAACCTTCTAAACAAAGTCTTGAGGAAGAGAGAGAGGTGGGAGACGGGGCGGCGAGAGACGATGTGAGGCAGTAGTCGGTAGGTGAGAACCAGACCCGTCATGAAGAGGAACGTATCTACCGACAACCAGCCGTTGGTCACCACCTGGGCTATCACCGGGTCCTGGTACTGTTGGTACAGCGACACAGATGATTATTAGTTTTTATATTCCTGGGAAAAAGCAAAACCTGTAAGGGTTACACAGCGCCTGGGCAAAGGGGCAGTTAGATTTGACCTGATGATAGGGAGAGTAGTTGCAATACCATAGATCAAGGGTCCTGCTTTTAGCATCTAGGCTACCGCCTCAAAAAAAAAAAAAAAAAAAAGGGGAAGGCAATATATCTGGGTCACTATATTATTGCAGACTAAGAAGCTTCTTTTTTTAGGTAATAAGAAAGATCCCTTCAAGGGAGGTTCCTTGATGCTGGTGAGGGGCTCTTGATCTAGGGAAATGGATCTGTGCTCCAGTTCCCTGAATTGAGCTTAAATGCCTACCATCTTCCCCACACATGCGCTGTATAATCCCTACTGGTTTATCGCTGGCCATGTTGATAATAATAATAATAATAATAATAATAATAAGAAGAAGAATATAAGAAAGATAGAATAAAGAAGGGGAAACGACTATGGGTTAAGGGCCAAAGTTTGAAATATTTGGCACATAATACTAAAGTGAAGACAACTCTAGAATACTGCGCGGAGCAGCAGAGTTCCAAAGACATTATTCTCTGGTATTAGTTCAGACTATACGATGACATGACCGCATTGCTATAAATGATAAATAAATTTCTGAATTCATGGCCAATAGTTGAAGCATACTGAAGATGTTTTAGTCTTGTGTGAAGAAGCTTATTTATGTTCTTTAACTGGAGGACAAGACTCCAGTGCTTCGTTCAGTCATATAATGCAGAACATTGTGTAAAATAGACTAATGCCAAAGACTTACTTCCCTGTAATTCTACAGTTCAACGAAATATTGTAGAATTATATCTTATTAAGAACGATGCACAAATATTTCAAATTTGAGTTCCGGTATCTATAAACCTGACAATTTTATAGACCAAAATATTATTCATAATCTTAAAGGTAAAAATATTTTAAACAAAAATGCAGTGTGGGTTCTTTGTCATACGAAGAGTTTGACTTGATATTGAAATGTATGTGTAGGACGGGTTTGTGTGAAGTGTTATCACCTTCTCTGAGTGAGGTGTCTTATTCCTATTGCTCTGGAGATGTGTGTACAAGCACATGAAAGCGATCTCACTCACTAGGGTATTTTTACACAAACACATACACACATACCTACACACAATACATATATATATATATATAATATATATATATATATATATATATATATATATATATATATATATATATATATATATATATATATATATATATATATATATATATATATATATATATATATATATATATATATATATATTTATATATATATGTGTGTCGTGTGCGTGTGCGTGTGTGTGTGTGTGTGTGTGTGTGTGTGTGTGTGTGTGTGTGTGTGTGTGTGTGTGTCGAACCGAATAAGTAAAACTTGCTCTTTTGGCATAAATAGCAGCGCACTTCTTGCCAAACAGGGCAAGCGAAAATTTGTGTATGGAATAATTTCGCAAAAAATCATTCTAAATCTAACGAAAAAATATATTTCATTGTGTTGGTTTATTAAGTTATTGTCAACTTACATAAAATATATTTATTGGATTAAGCTAAATTAAGTTGCTCTTGTTATAATAAGGTTAGGTAAGTTTCCTAAGGACTTAATTTTAAATGAGTTCTTGCTAATTAACCAATTTTACTTATTCGGCACGACTTATATATATAAATAATATATATATATATATAATATATTACGATTAACTATATATATATATATATAATATATATATATATATATATATATATATATATATTACGACTGTAGTACAGCTTAAGATAATATTAATACTGCTACTTTCAGTAGTAGGATTAAATAACTTTTTGTCAACTTTGTAATTATTATTTTATTTATTACTGTTCTTTAGTTCACATCACTTACTTTGAGAGAGTCGAGAGTGTTGACGATGAAGTTATAGTTAGTCTCGTACTGGTGACAGATGATGATCCACGACATGGTCACTACTCTGCAATATACATTCAGAAATTAATTCATGATGTATATGTATGTAAATCTATAGTAAAGTGCACCTGAGCGTTAATTCACCTTTCGCATCGTTTTATATATATGGTGTTACACTAACATGCAAATACACACACACACATACACAAAAAAATGGTTCAAGATACATAAAGTCCTACAGAATAAGTGATAAAGAAAAAAATCGGATTTTGCGACTAAGGCTGAAAATAATGAAGATACGCTAATTACCACGGAGAGAAGAGGAAATGTGATAATAATATATAAGGACATTACCCAAATTGAAAGAATAAAGAAAGAATGATTCTGAGCACTTACAAGAGAGTGAAAGAACTTTGCAGATAGCATAGTTATTTTCTACAGAGATATAGCAATGCCATGGGATACAAGTTGATGAAATCAGTACACAGTAAAAATATATATAAATAAATATTTTTTACATGGCACCGGCCGTCTCCCACCGAGCCAGGAAGACCCAAAAAGAAAAACGAAAGTGAGAGTTAGAGTGAGTGAGTGTATGTGTGTGTATGTGTGTGTGTGTGTGTGTGTGTGTGTGTGTGTGTGTGTGTGTGTGTGTGTGTGTGTGTTGTGTGTGTGTGTGTGTGTTTGTGTGTGTGTGTGTGTGTTTGTGTCTGTCTCTATCTGTATCCGTCTGTGTCTCTATGTCTGTGTCTGTGCCTATCTGTGTCATAAAAAAGTCAGATTGGTTAGAACATATATGCACACACAATACCAAAACTTGTGATAGACTTCAATGACCGATTCTGTCTTTGTCGGCAAGAAGCGCGTCTGGTCCTGAGCTGGTGGTGTCAGCGCCACAGTCAAATGGAATACCTAATGCTACTCCCACTCCTCGTTTTTTTTTCTCCCATCCTAGACTCCGGCTTTTATTCAATTTACTCATTTTTTCCAGTTTGAATTTTACACCTATTTTTTTTAATTAACATTATTACGCACACGGGCACCATTACGCCAGATGACTGACAGCATACTGTAAGGTAAGATGAAATTAGTATGATAAAATTAAAAACCACGAGTGTTTCCGGGTTTAAGTTAGCACATGGAGGTAAAAATCCTCGACCTAGACTTATGGGGAATCGCTGTTAAAGTGCTCAAGGGACGTATTGCTGCTGTTTCGCCCTGACAGGGACATGTAGAGTATGGGTGCGAATACTTCAAATTCAGATTAAATAAAAATATCTAATATACAGTAATATTCCGTGCATAATAAGCGGATTCGGTCAGTTACGCTCATATACCATAAACAATGAGCTTTCCCAAGAGTTTCTTTTGTTGATTAATAGACACGTCGTGCCGAATAGGTAAAACTGGTCAACTAGCAAGAATTCATTAAAAATTAAATCCTTTCTAAAAATTTCTCTTATTCATTTAAAGATATATTTTTTTAATTTATGTTAATATAAAAATTAATAAGTTTGTACTAAAAGAACCGTAGGAAACTTACCTAACCTTATTATAACAAGAGCAATTTAATTTAGCCTAATCCAACTAAATATATTTTATATAAGTGTACAATAAATTAATAATAAATAAGCATAATGAAATATATTTTTTCCGTTAGTTTCAGAATGATTTTTGCGAAATTATTGCATACATAAATTTTCGCTTGCCGTATTCGGTAAGAAGCGCGTTGCAACTTAAGCTAAAATCGCAAGTTTTACTTATTCGGCACACGCCCCAGGTCTGAGGAGCTAGATGATATTTTCGCATTATAATCAGTGACAAACACGTAACAATATGTACTAGACATGTATATCTCACACCTCATGTACTGTATATGCCATCTTTATATCAACAATGTATCTCTTAAATCTTTTGTACCATATTATGTAATAAAATATACCTATTGGTAAAAAAGAATGAAAAGATGAGGTGGTAGGGGAAATGGAATATTCAAAAGGCTTCAGGAAGAAATCCAAATATTCTTCCTTGAAGCCTTTTTATCCACTTCTCCGGGGCTCTGGATGGCGTAGCCATCCAGAGGGGAAATGCTTGCTGCATACTTGGCTCGCGTCCAGCCTCGGAGGAACTGGAGGAAATTCATGATCTTTGATACATTGTGCCATTGTATTCATGTTTATGTTTTTTTTCTGTAAAAGTATTCTGTTTATTAATAAATGTTCACATGGAATATAAAATATATAGGGGTGGTAGGAGAAGAAAATATTCAAACAGCTCCGGGGAGAACCTTGAGTTTTCCCTGAGGTAAGTTTATTGTCTTCTCTGAGGATGAGGGTCCCTATTCCAGCTATAGAGGTGGTACTTCCCTATTATATATATATATATATATATATATATATATATATATATATATATATATATATTATATATATATATATATATATATATATATATATATATATATATTATATATATATATATATATATATATATATATATATATATATATATATATATTATATATATATATATATATATATATATATTATATATATATATATATATTATATATTATATATATATTATATTAATATATATATATATATATATATATATATATATATATATATATATATATATATATATATATATGTCGTGCCGAATATGTAAAACTGGTCAATTAGCAAGAACTCATTTGAAATTAAGTCCTTTCAAAAATGCTCTCTTATACGTTTAAAGATATATTTTTTCATTAATGTTAATGTAAAAAAATTTTAATTTTGCACCAAAAGAATCTTAGAAAACTTACCTAACCTTATTTTAACAAGAGCAATTTATTTTAGCCTAACCCAACTAAATATATTTTAGATTTGTTTACAATAATTTAATATCAAACAAACACAGTGAAATATATTTTTTTCGTTAGGTTCAGAATGATTTTGGCGAAATTATTGCATACACAAATTTTCGCTTGTCCTATTTGGCAAGATGAGCGTTGCTATTTAAGCCAAGATCGCAAGTTCCGCCTATTCGGCACGACACACACACACACACACTCACACACACACACACACACACACACATATATATATATATATATATATATATATGTATATATATATAATAATATTTATATATATATATATATATATATATATATATATATATATATTATACACACAGACACACACTCAAAATAACCACTATGCAAAAACTAGTGAATTTCCAACCGCATTCGTAATCTCTCACATTATCAAGGAACTGTACAAATAATAGGACAGCAAGTTTATAAGGCTGAGACATCACCTCAGCCTTATAAACTTGACCAAACACACCTAGCATGGGAAAGGTTTGGATTTATATGGTCTGCGTTTGTCCCAATTTGCCTTTTTTATGAAAGAAATTTGGAAAATTTAAGTACTATTTGCATGATAAAATTTGTGAGTGCCTCATCCAGTTGCCTTCAGCCTTCAATGCTGATAAGGTTTTAATACAAGTTCTGAGCAGCTTCAAATTCAGTGCGCTTGAGTATTTTGGAACATTGGTCCCTCTGAGATAACAAAAGAATTCCTCTTCAGTTTACCTTCCACGCTGACATTAGTGGAAGGTTTGATTATTATTATAATCAAAGAAAGCGCTAAACCGACAAGGGTCATACATTGCTGCGGGGCAGAAAATAGTGCCGGGGCTATTAACAGCTAGGTGGAGAGGCGAGCGGAGGTGAGGGGACAAAAGGGCTGGAAGGGACGCTCAGTGCTGTGTCAAAGTTCGTATAGTAAAGCAGTTGCTGACAAAAAGTAAAAAAGTGATTGTAAATCAAAGGCAGGGTCGTCTGCAAGAAGGGAAGTTATGGTAAGAGAGTAGGGGGGCGGCGGCGGAGGTAAATCCTGCGACCTCGTTGGTAAACCAGGCAATCCACAAGAAAGTTAAGAACCGAACTAGGGACCCAACAAACCCACAGAGAGGAATAGGGTGTCGTTCCATGAGATACCCATGGGAAAAGCGAGTATGGCCGATGCAGAGACGGGAGAGTGCAGTCTCCCGAGTACAGCAACGGTTTAAGATGACCACAAACCTAAAAGCGGTTTAATAGAGTGCAGTTTGTTATGGAGCATGTCTGACCACCGGTGTTACCAATGGCCGCGAAGACACGCAGAGATGACTGTAAAATAATTCCTAAATGGAATAACTCCAAAAGAAAACAGAAGATCATGTACCGCTGACCGCGCAGCAGCATCCGCCTGTTCATTGCCATGCACATCAACGTGTCCAGGGACCCAACAGAAAACGATGTCTTTGTTTTTGCTAGCCACACAGGGCAACCAAGGACCAATGGATGAGGGGAATCAAATTTTTTAATGACTTGTATAGCGCTGAGGGAATCTGAAATGATCACAGACACCGAAGTAAGATGTATGTAATATAGAGAAGTGTTATGAGGATGGCATACAACTTGGAGGTATAAATACTAACCGAGTCTAACAAATGACCTTGGACAACATCGTCAGGGAACACCGCCGTGAACCCAACACCGTCAGAAAATCTAGAACCATCTGTAAAAACAGCGACGACATGAGCATGCGATCGGAAGTGATCAAGAAAAAGGGAGCGACAAGTAGTCGTAGGTAGGGGAGAACAGACACAGACACGAACCGTCGGAACCTCCCAAGGAAGAAGGGAAGTGAGTGAAGACGAAGAGAAAACGGTCGGAATAAGCAGGGGCTCCGAACAAATAATGGGCTTCTACTAACGTTTGAGACCAACCTATACGTAGGAGGAACATGAAGGTCATGAGAGCGGACAAAGTAACGAAGACAGTGAGTATCACGACGATCACCTAAGGCACATTCCCCTCAACATTGAGGCTTTCAACAGAGACAAGACTAAGGTAGAATGCAAACGGAAGAGAGTCCGGCGGTCTGCTTCCCATGAACGATGTGCAGGAATTTTAAGGAGATTCAGCCGACCACGGCAAGCTTCCTTCAAAGAGGAAATGTGAGGTTTCCATGTCAACCGGCGATCGAAGAGAAGGCCAAGAAACTTGACCTTATCATATTCTGGAAT